GATGTTTTAAGTGAAAAGGCAGGGAGCATGGGAAGTCTAGCCCACTTGCAGGTTTCTAGACGCCCATTGGCTAGAGAGGTTCATACTCTGGCTAATGACTTTATGAGGCTAGAAATAAATGAGAAGGGAGGATTCGTGGCCTCTGTGGAGGCAAGATCTTCCTTTCTTGATAAGATTAAAGGAAAGCAGTTTACCGATGAGAAACTGATCCGGATCCGAGATAAGGTGTTGCAAGGAGAGGCTAAAGAAGCAAAAATCGATGAGGAAGGTGTATTGAGAATTAAGAGAAGGGTATGTGTACCCCGCGTTGATGATTTAATTCACACTATTCTTACAGAGGCTCATAGTTCAAGGTATTCTATACATCCTGGTGCAACCAAGATGTATCGTGACCTAAAGCAACATTTTTGGTGGAGTAGGATGAAGCGTGACATTGTTGATTTTGTTGCTTAATGCCCGAATTGTTAGCAAGTAAAGTATGAACACCAGAGGCCTGGAGGGACACTTCAGAGAATGCTCATTCCTGAATGAAAGTGGGAGAGAATTCAATGGACTTCGTGGTTGGTCTTCCAAAGACGATGGGTAAGTATAACTCTATTTGGGTGATTGTTGACAGATTAACTAAGTCTGCTCACTTTATTTCGGTTAAGGTGACTTACTATGCAGAGAAGTTAGCCAAACTTTACATCTCAGAAATTGTTCGATTGCACGGAGTTCCACTTTCCATCATATCAGATAGAGGTACGCATTTTACTTCTAAGTTTTGGAAAACATTGCATGCCGAGTTAGGTACTAGATTGGATCTTAGTACTGCATTTCACCCTCAGACTGATGGTCAGTCTGAGCGAACGATTCAAGTTTTAGAGGATATGCTTCGTGCATGTGTGATAGAGTTTGGTGGTCATTGGGATAACTTCTTACCCTTAGCAGAGCTCTCATACAACAATAGTTATCACTCTAGTATTGACATGGCCCCATTTGAGGCACTGTATGGGAGAAGATGTAGGTCGCCCATTGGGTGGTTTGATGCATTTGAGGTTTGACCTTGGGGTACTGACCTTCTGAGGGAATCGTTAGATAAAGTGAAATGCATTCAAGAAAAGCTTTTAGTGGCTCAAAGTAGGCAGAAAGAATATGCAGATCGAAAAGTTAGAGACTTGGATTTTATAGAGGGTGAACAAGTCCTACTGAAGGTTTCACCCATGAAAGGGGTGATGCGGTTTGGTAAGCGAGGTAAGCTTAGTCCGAGGTACATTGGTCCATTTAAAGTTCTGAAGCGCGTGGGGGAGGTAGCTTATGAATTAGCTTTGTCCCCAGGACTCTCAGGAGTGCACCCGCTATTTCATGTGTCTATGCTGAAAAGATACCATGGGATGGAAACTACATCATTCGTTGGGATTCAGTTCTTCTTGATGAAAATTTGTCTTATGAGGAGGAGTTTGTTGCCATTTTAGATAGAGAAGTCCGCAAGTTGAGGTCAAGGGAGATTGCATCCATCAAGGTCCAATAGAAGAATCGACCAATTGAAAAGTCCACTTGGGAAAAGGAGGCTGATATGCAAGAAAAATACTCACACCTGTTTACAGATTCAGGTACTCCTTTTCGCCCTTGTTTTTCTTCTTGTGATCGTTCAGAGACGAACGATGGGTAAATTGGTATATATTGTAATGACCTGTTAGTCGTTTTGAGCAGTAGAGTTTATTTCTAGTAATAACTGTCTGGGTCGACGGATTCCACGACGGACCGTCATGAGCACGACGGACCGTCGAGGGGGTCTCGTTCCAAAACACTTAGATTCTAAAATTTTGGGTACTGAGAACAACTCTCTGAACTTCGCGACGACATGGCAGGACGGACCGTCACAGACCCTTTGATGAAATTTAGTCTCTGAACATTGTGACGGAGGCAGCACGACGAACCGTCGCAGGCACGACGGGCCGTCACAGGTTGCGTAACCTTGACTGGGTCGGATTTCTGTTAAAAGTTTTAAGGGGTGTTTTGGACTATTCCTGCTTATAATTATAAAGTTAGTGGGTTAAGGTTAATAATTCAATTACTTGGGGGTTAAAGGAGATAACCTTAGAATAAATAGTGGGTTACTTTTAGCATATTTTATGCTTAATTATATGGTAATTAGGGTAAAAGAAAAAGGGTTGGAATAAGGAAAAAATAGAAAGAACAGAGAAGAAGGGAGAAACGAGCGAGAGAAAGGGAAGAACGAAGAGGAAAGCAAAGCATTGACAAAGTAGATTGCCTGATCACAATTCTTCGGTGGAGGTAGGTTATGGTTTATGCTATTTCATAGTAAACTCTTAATAGCGAATGATAAGAATTGGGCAGTATTGTAAAGTCTTCTATATGCTTAATTGTATGCTTGCATGATGTGATTATGTAATTGTAATGGGTTGGAAAGATAAGGTTGTGAAGCTTAAACCTAAAACCCTCTCTGTTAATGATGATGCCTTGGTATAAAAGAAGGCTTGATAAACTAAAAAATGAGGTTAATGGATCGGGTGTCACGAATCGACACGTAGTATTAATGGATCGGGTGTCACGAACCGACACGTAGTATTAATGGATCGGGTATCACGAACCGACACGTAGTATTAGGGGATCGGGTGTCACGAATCGACACGTAGTATTAGGGGATCGGAGTGTCACATTCCGACACCAGGATAGTAAAAAGAAAGAATCTTGAATTATGTTAATGTACTCAATTTAAAGAACCTATTTCCCAAATGAGTATGGTGTGGAGGCTTGAGACCTCATAGATGTGCTTGGGTTGTGGCCAATGGTTATGGTACTTGTTTTTGTTACCTGTTAAGTGTTATGGTTGATTTTACGTTAATATCTGATATATATTGCTTTCTATTTTGAGTTGGCCGATGATATCTACTCAGTACTTGTGCTTGTACTGACCCCTACTTGTATGTTTCTTTCCTTGTTATTTGTGGAGTGCAGCAAACGTACCGTCGTCTTCAACTCAACCGCAACTCTAGCAAGTCTTCACCACGTCAGATTTCAGGGTGAGCTATTGTTCCTAGCTCGGACTGGATTCTCTCTCATTCATGTCTTGATGTCCTTGAAGTTCCGACATGGACTATCTCTTGTATTTGTTTTAGCTTCCTAGACATTCTTAGATTTAGTAATTTGAGGATAGATGTTCTTGTGATGATGACTTCCAGATTTTGGGGATAATGATAAAATTTGAGTTTTAGAAGTTAATTATTTATTTCGTTAATGAGTTTTAAGTCTTCCGCATTATATTCTGTTTATTATGGCTGAAATGTTGGGGTTTAGATTGGTTGGTTCGCTCACATAGGAGGGTAAGTGTGGATGTCACTCGCGGCTCGTTTTGGGTCGTGACAAATATGTACCAAACAAATGACTTATTTTTATATAAAGCACCTGAATATCGAGTTTAACGACAATACAATAAGATTGCCTTGATAATGCAATTACTTGTGATAAGTCCACGGGTCTACATATGAGTATATTTGTTGTATATACAAAATATAGCACTATTTGTGTTAGTTTTTGATGATTTGATGTTTCAATATTCATGAAAAATTCAACACTCTATTCGAATAGTAGAAATAGATAATATCTTTTAGTTTTCAAATTTAATTTTTAATAAACATAAAATAAATTAACAAAATAAGAAAAAAGACGAACCAATAATAACATTATAAACATGTTTGTGATGAGTCATGTATAATTTGAAGGAAAAAATATTACAAATTCAAACTAAAGAGAAAATAATATCTAAGACATAGGAAGATTAAAATATGTTCATTGACTAAGATCTTAATCTTCAATCACTCAAAAATTTAATAGGAGAAGGAAAGACTGTTACAAGAGAAATGATGATTTATACAATCTAAAATCCTATGTGTGAAAATAAGAGAACAAATATATTGCATAAAAAAAGTATAGCTGCAAAAAATACCACGTGTGATTCACAAAAGTACTATTACCTGTAAATTATATACTTTAATCATATTTATTATTGAAATTTCACCTTTTAAAAAATGAACAACAAGCTAAAGAAAAACATTAAAAAGGGGAAAAGGAACAAATAAAAATTAATAAAATAAAGAAAGGGAAAAACAATGAACAGCCTGACTGAAACTACGTCATAAAAATACTCGGATAAATCTATATATCTTGAATTTCAAGAACACTTTGAATTGCATCACAAATTAATCTAAAAATAGGTATATTCTACAATAAAAGAGTCGGTGGGGGGGGGGGGGGGGGGACAACGTTAGAAGAAAACAACAAAGAAATAGTGTTAAAAATTTGAAACCTTCCAGTTTCAAAAAAGAAATTGATGGAGGTAGGAGGACAATGACATTTTTAGGAATCGTTGTCGCTGTCGAGAAATCGTTGGATGCATCACACTTCATATGATTGTCTTAGAGTTTTTAACTAAAATGGTGTTTCGATATCTTCCATGTCTTTTTAAATGTATATGTTGATGAAATGATTTGCTTAAAGAGATGAAACATAGTTTCTTTATTCACATGAAGAAACTCAAATATTCACTTGGAAAAAGATTTAGTATTACTTTCAATTGTCTTTTCGCTTACCCTATTCATGATTATTTAGATGTAAGTTTCATATTGTTGGCTTTTTAATTATCATAATTATTGTAATTGAAATGTGTATTTATTTTTCAGCTAATTAAAAAATTAAAATATTATTCTTTTATTTTCACATAATGTTATATATATTCAAATAATGTTCAAGTGAGGATAAATTTGTAATTCAACTTTGAGCTAAGAATTTTTTCACTTATAATATAATATGATATACTGATGATATAATGATATGATATTCACTTAGTAATATAAATAATTGACTTTAGAACTAGTAAGTTAAATAAGTTACAATAAATTCTTGAACTCAAATCAATAAAGGTATAAAGGTTAAATTCTGAATCCATTCTCGTGCAGTCTTGCTAAATGAAGGTGGGGTTAAGGGTATGGACATAATAATTCAAGAAGAAGAAAAAAACCCATTATGTGAAAACATGACTAATTGTACCCAACGAGCAGAAGAGCTAACTCATCAATCAATAGGTTACAGAGTGATATTTCCAACATTTTACGTTGAAACAATCTGTTGATTCTACATATCAATGCATCTAGACAACAAAATTGGTTACATATAGGAAAACTTTACAATGACAACAAAATATAAGTTTATTTTCCTGGAGTCACCTTCCGCGTGGCGACTTATGATAGGCCTTTAATGGAGACGCAGAGGGTGTCACGCTGAGTGATGAACGGTGTTTAAATGGAGAAGCTGGAACTGAGCTAGAAGTGGCTCGATGCTCAATCTGAGATATTTTGTTAACGCCTTTCGGTGCTTGAAGCTGTTCAAGAGCAGCCAAAACTTCAGACATCCGCGGCCTTAGCTTAGGCTCGTTGCTTAGACACTGCCAAGCAAGGTTAGCAGCTGTATATGCTCCTTTCTGAGGATACTGTCCCTCTAGTTTAGTGTCCATGATTCGGAACAACCTCCTCTTGTCCCCAAGATATGGCTTTGCCCAATCCACAAGATTCTGCTCTACGCCAACCTTCATTTTATCGAGAGCACGACGCCCTGATAAAAGTTCAAGCAATACAACCCCGAAGCTGTATACATCACTTTTTGATGTCAATCGACCTGGCGGATAGCAAGTACAAAAACAACAACCAAGAATGTCAGGAACAGAATTTCACCAATCAGATTTGTTAAACAGCATAATCATAGTACTTAATCTTGCAAATTGACTGCGGAAAGTTATGCTATCTTGTGACAAGTAAAAAATCGAGTAGTTTCTATAACAAGGTTAGAGACTAGTAAAAATGGGGACTGACTGACATTCTTAATACTCCCACACGAAAATACGTCCAACAAGATCACATTTTCTTGATGTTCAAGTTGAACATGGCACAACAAAGTTAGGATAACACATTTCCGGTAATTCATGAGACAACCGAGACACAACTGTCCCTGTAGCATGATTTTCTATGCCGAAAAGCAAAATATTAACCTGTAGCAACATATTCTGGAGCAGCATAGCCCTGAGTACCGATGACTTGAGTGGACACATGAGTGCGATCACCAGTTGGGCCGGCCTTGGCTAAACCAAAATCAGACAACTTTGCATTAAATTCCTGCAGTCACAGACCGGGGAAAGATATTCAGTTTTCACCAGTTTTAAAAGAACATGACACTATTATATTTTAAAGAAAGGCAACTGAATTTGTGAGCACGTCAAAACTTAATACCTACCCCGTCTAAGAGAATATTAGAAGCCTTAAAATCCCGATATATAACTTGTTCTTTAGCATCATGTAGGAAAGCAAGGCCTCTAGCAGCACCAATAGCCACCTTAATTCTTGTCAACCAAGTAAGAGGTTGAGGCCCTCCTGTTAAACAAGATTCCAAGAATTACCACCAATTTATAAATCCACACACACAGTCACACCTCGTTATAACAACATTTCACTTTAAAGACTCATTTTCTCCAAAATTGATTATCCATACTATCTTTTACTTCATATTATTTACTTGTCTAGAAGAATAGTGACATTAATTATAGCATAAAAATAAAATATGTAATAGTTATCATCATCAAATGTCATAAACATAGTAAAAAAATTGAAATTTTAAAGTACAAACTCTTTTTTTTAAAATTAAATTGGTCAACAAATACATGTCTTCATGTATGTTACATAAAATCATTAAACTATTCTTTGGCTTACTTCTGTTTATAAAAGCTAAATGAAATCTAAACGTCAAATGTCAATATACATATAAAACGACACCTCATTATAGCAAGTAGCAACCATGATTAATTTAGACAAATGTTGCCACTTTAACGGGGTTTGACTGATATACAAGTCTTCACTTGGGTGTTCGATAATTATCCATTTCATGAAAAACTGTAACTCACACCACATGGACTAAATCAACAATCATCACAGAGTTAACAAACTTCTGTCAACACTGTTTGACTACTTATATCGCGGAGAAGGCCAATAAAAAGATTCAGAGGAATAATAATGAAGCCGGTTCAACATAATTAAAGTAAGAATTGAGGCAAGTGCTCTGTAATTTCACAACTTTAAAGTCTCGGAAAATTAAATCAGATATTTGGCATTTAAACCACAGATTGGCTCATACATTTCTTCAGATTCCTTGTAGTTTTTCGGTCTCTAACTTTATCCTTTCATGTGATTACTAGCATTAGCAAACAGCTTCTAAGACCCTAAAACATGATGTAGTAGAAAATCTCAGCTTTTCAGAAATTCCCTAATTACTTGTCTACTTTTGAATTGACACACCTATTATCAAAACAATGATTGGCATAGTGAGTTTACCATTTTACCCTTTTAATTATGAAGTAGATGAATAAAAAACTTAAGTTTTTCAAAATGTTCAACATTTTTAAAGTAATTAATTGAGGTTATAATAGGAAAAATAAATTTGTCTTTTCTTGATTTATCAAAATCGACAAGTAATTAGGCACAACTAAAAAAGGAAAAGTGGATAAGTAATTAGGGACAAAGGGAGTAGTATAGATATGTAAATAGATTTGAAAGTTTAGGTAGTGTGTTGACGTACTTCGAAATAAATGATTCTCCAAGCTTCCTTTAGGCATGAACTCATACACCAAAAGCCGATCATCTCCCTCTATACAATAGCCAATGAGTTTAACCAGATTTGGATGACGAAGTTGGCCAAGGTAATTAACTTCAGTCTGCAAAGCATTTCTGATCAATTACAGGGCCAACAAGATCAACAAGTTAAATAAGTTATAAATCTGCAAACGGAACATACCACCCACTCCTTGTGACCCTGAAAACCCTCTGGCTTCAATTTCTTGACCGCAATGACCATTCCAGAACCAGGCTTTGCAGCAGTAAGAGTATGTTCATCAATCCATCCTTTGAAAACATAACCAAATCCTCCTTCGCCAAGAAGACTGTCAGGTCTAAAGTTCCTTGTTGCACTTTTCAATTCGTTAAATGAGAAGGACTTAACATTGGGAGAAAACAAAATCTCGCCTTCAGATCTTGGAGTAGAAAGAGTATCAGCGCTGCTTTTCCGACTATAAGATGGAATACTTAGACTTGAAAGAACAGAAGAATGGCTGGTTCTGCTGGGAATCCTAGAGGCTCCGGAAGCTGCAATAAAGAATAGTAGAAAATGTCATTGCTCAGTCACATTTGGTAACAATCTAATCATAACTTAACCCAAGAAAGCCTCAAATTCGTAACCCGAAGTAAGTAGACTCAAATAACTATTTAATTTGGATAAAATATGTTCTAGACAGAAGTTATGCTCTTCAACAACAAACCCAATGTAATCCGACAAATAGGTGCGGTCTGGGAAGGGTGGTGTGAATGCAGACTTACCCCTACCTGGTGAAGGTAGAGAGGTTGTTCCCGATATATCCTAGGCTCAAGTAAAAGATATCAAACTCAAGTATGGAAAGAAAATACAGTAATGAAGAAATCATGTTAAAGATAAAGGAGATGAACGGTAGCAAAGCAACAAACAAGACATAACTGAAGCAAATGAAACAACAGGTAATAAAATCGAAGAATAAAATAGTAGTAGGGAAAACTACACAATGCTCAGATACCTACTAACCTGCTACCTGAATCCTTGCCCTTCATACCATCCTATCTAGACACATGTCCTCGGTAAGCTGCAAGTATGTCATATCCTGTCTAATCACCTCTCCCTAATACTTCTCAGTCTACCTCTACCTCTAACTCTTCTCATACCCACCACTTAAGTTAGTATATTTGATTTACCAACAAGCATCACATTTATATAGTAGCAAGTAAGATGCCATATGTGCAACAAAGATTGGCAACCAGAAGAAAGATTCCCATTTAACTGTTTGTTAATGAGTAATATCCATAAAACAAACAGATTGAGAAAAATAATTTGCTTGGCCACTGTTATGCATTCATCAATGGAGATACTATGGTTGGAATATAAACACACATATCTTCACATGTAACATGCACAAAACGCTAGTCAAAGGATTCATTCGTGAGAGAAAAATGAATCACCCATAACCTTCAAAAAAGGAATCATCCTATTCCACGAGCGTTAAAATATGCAGCATTAGCTCCATGTTAACGGTTTTCAATTGGCACTGATCATCTTAATAGACAAATGTATATTTTCGCTTTCCTATAAGCTTTCATCTTTGACAATAGCCATCAATCTTCTTGCAAATTTAGTCAATTCTATAAGCTTATTCTAAAAATTCAGCTCAACATGTCATTTATCAGTCTCAGCCGAGACTTTCTTATAACAACAATAACTGCACTAAAATCTTCCTCTCAAATTTTATGGTAGTACATGCAGAGGTGGAGCCAAGATTTTTAGTTTATGGATTTTGAACGACAATTAGTCCTTTTTTGCTTACTGGACTTTGAATAGATTATCTATACATATAGAATGAATTAAATAATACAAATACAGGATTTGAGCTAAAGCTATTGGGCTTAGCCGAATTTAAAGGCTTCCTGCCTAGTCTTTAAGCAATCATTTAACAAACAAAGTCAGTCATCTACGAGTCCCCAAACAAACAGAGCAAAAGAACTCAAAAATCTAACAAGGTACCTCAGTCTCCCCTGAACACAAAAAATGGTAATATATCAAATTCAAACAAATACTCACAACGAACAATAAGAAGCAATGGGCATCCCATATATAGAGCCCGTTGGGATTGGCTCCATTTCTTTTTATATATCATCCTTACTATAAATAGTTGGTCCATAAAACTTGTCATTTCATAAAATCAATGCATAAATTACAATATTTTTCCATTTGACCAACCGAACAAACTAATAAGCAATTAATGTTCATTGTAATTAATTCATATATTGAGTAATTACTCTCACCACTGTTTTACTCTATAAAATTTGATTTTGAAAAAGAAATCTCAACAAAAAAATTAAATAAAAAATGGATTCATTTATCATTTTATGAAAAGTTGACTTCAAAAAATATTAAATAAAGGTAGAATTGTACACTTAACATAATGCAAGTGAAATCTAAAAAGGTTCACATATAATAAGGAATAGAGGAAATAACTTTTAAGTAAAAAAAAAAGTCAAACATAAATGACTTTTAAGTCAAAAAATAAAAAAGTAAGGAGAATCTACTTTTGGTTTTGAACTTTTTTTAAAGTTATTTTTAACTTTATCAAGCACTCTCAAAATCTAAAAACGACTTAAAAGTAGGTTTAACAAACTTTTAAACCAATTCAAACAACTCTTAAACATCTTTTTTAAATAAGTTAAGTTAAAGATTTGTGCTTTATACAACAAAACATTGAGTTCCCGCTGATTAAACCAAGATCATGATAAAGAGTTATAATTAAATAAGAAATGAATAACTTCAAGCTCTTTCTTTTTCTTTTTTTTGAAAAACTGAGGGAATAAACGAATTAGAAATAACTCAAGATTTATCACAGCTAACAACATCAAAAACAGTCCAAAAGAAGTAAGAATCGGATATATGAATCTCCAGTTCTAATTGGAAAATCACAGAACAACAACAACAACCGCAATAACAGTCTCAAACAAGTGAGGGTTGGATATATGAATCTCTACTTCTAATTAGAAACCATTCAAGGTTATCAAAAACAATAACCACATCAACAACAGTCCCAAACAAGCCAGGGGATCGGATATATGAATCTCCACTTTTAATAACAAACCATTCAAGATTATCAAAAACAATAACAACATCAACAACAGTCCCAAACAAGTCAGGGGGTCGGATATATGAATCTCCACTTCTAACAACAAACCATTCAAGATTATCACAAACAACAACAACAATCCCAAAAAAAGTCAGGCAATCCCCACTTCTTCATTTAAGCTCATTTCATATCATCATCAAACTATAAAACAAAACTCAAAAAAAATAAGTTCTTATATATAGTGCCAAAAAAATTCACACCCATTTCAAGAAATCTTAGTAGCTCAGTTAGTTAACTATCTAAACTTTCAATCTTGTCGGTGAGAGTTCGATTCCACCTTAATCCCCAACCTCTCCATCCCCACCCAAAAAAAATTATATTTAATTTTATTCATACCCCCAAAAAGGTAGTTTATCAAGTTCTTGAAAACAAAAAAAAAATAACAAAGCAAGAACAAGAAAAGAACAAAAAGGTAAAGTACCAGAAATATTGTGAGAGCTGAGAGTGGCATCAACTCTAGCTGATGAACCTAAACAGTTACCCATCTGTAAAACAAAACAACAGCAAAAGAAACACTGCACAAGTGTTTACAAGAATAATTTTTTGTTAAAATTTTTCGAATTTCAAGAAAGATAAAACATAGGTGTATATATGTTTCTTTTCAATTGAGAAAATTAAAAAAAATAATATACTTGAAAAAAGCTAGACAAAAATTTGTCCTTTTTGGTATGACAGCGTGAGAACAAGAGAAATTGTGGAGTACTTTCTCCTTTTTACTTATTTTATAATATTATTGTTATTCTGTTAGGTAAAGATAATGTTCTAGATAAATTTTGTACCTACTGGACTAACATCGCGTACATTTTGTGTCGGAGTACTATTTCTTCGATTTATTTTTACTTATTATCTTTAAAAAAGAAAATTTATATGCCATATTTTAAAAAATAATATAAATAAATATATATGTTATCATTATACTTGTATTAATTAATATATTATTTTTAAGAAAAAATTGTATATAATAGTAAACTAATAATCTAAAATAAATGGAATAGCTAGGGTTTGATTTAATTGTGCTCCATAGCAAACGTTAGCTAAAATTTGCCAGCGTCTCTCTCCTAAAAATCCGCTCGCCACTCTCCATTCTCGCTCGCCTCTCTCTCTTTATACACAGAAGTATATAATTCTGTTTCTGTTTTGTATAAAGCGAGAGAAAATTGTATATACACATGCAAAAATATATATCTTCGTGTTATACACTTAATTATACAATTTACAGGCATTTTACTTCAAATATTGCAGAGAAAAAGGCCAACGAATTATACAATTGCGAATTATACAATTGCAGTGAAATACAATTTTCTCTAGATTTATACAACAGAAGTGTATATATTGTGTTTCTGTTTTTGTATAAATCGAGAGAAAAACATATATCTTCTTGCTATATACTTATAATTATGCAATATACATACATTTTAATTCGATTCAACTGTATGCAAAGCAAATTATACAATTGCAGCGAAATAGGCCAGCGAATTATACAATTTAGGCCAGCGAATTATACAATTTTATGTTTGCTATGGAGCGCAATTATGCAAACTTTGTTATAGCATATTAATATGAATTTTTTGTTTGCTATATGTGAAAGTTGCCCTTTTTAATAATTAAAAACAAAAAAATACTATTCTTTTGTAGAATAAATAAAAAGAAATTAATATAATAAATAAATAAAAGTAAACAGAGAAAATAGTACAAGTGTTGAATAATTATATTTAGTGTCCAAATTTTTTTTAATAAAAACTAATAAGGAAAAAAGATAATCCCTATATTTTCGGGGAAATACATACATATTTTTTAAAAAAATATTTAAGATATAAATCGAATATTATCTTTATCAAGCAATTCAAAGTAAAATTATAAACGGTTACTTTGTCAAGCTTATTACCTAGCAAAAATGAAACAAGATCTAAACATTATTTTGAACTTTAATTAATTTACTTATTTTGAACTATAGCAAAAAGTTCAACTAATATGAAAGAGAAAGTAATAAACATATGTAAAACATAGAAGTACTTGCATTTTAGGGTACAACTCAATAGTTAATAAACAATAAAAAATTTTGAAATCAGATTTATGAAGACAAAATATTAGATAATTATTTTTTTATATTTAATTATTGATCAAAATTATTAGATATTTATATTGATAAAAGTAATAGGCATTTTTAATAACATAGAAAGTAATAAACATATGTAAAACATATTCAACAGTAAATAAGCAATAAAAAAATTTGAAATCAGAATTATGAAGACAAAATATTACATAATTTTTTTCTATATTTAATTATTGATCAAGATTATTAGATTTATATTAATAAAAATAATAGGTATTTTTAATAACATAATCAATATATATACAAGACAATACAATTACTATCTTCATAAATAAAATCTTCAACATGATTTGGAAATTTTGAAAATTAATTATAACTTGTTAGGCCAATTTTTTAAAAAGTCAAAAGTGTTTATATTTTAAACACGTACAAAATAAATTTGGCTTCACTTTAAAAGTCAACTTATTTACAAACATGGAAATTAATTTAAAAAATCATTGTTCTCACATTGAAATTAAATTTTACTTTTTTATCCAGAAAGTGACAAACTGCTGTCCATTTTGATAACGTGTGGGTCACTATAATTACCAAATTGGTCCCTACAGTTGGAACTTGTCAAACCAAAAATTAATCTTTTTCATTTTTTTTCTTTATTTTTCTATATTTGTTATTTTTCTTCAAAAATTAGTGTTTAATCTATTGTCAAACGTGCCTTATAATAACAAAAGTCTATTTACCTAAATATATTACCGTCCAAAACGTGTCAATTATTGAAGGTTCTTGCCGCAATGAGTTGTACATAACTTATTCGAGATTGACGTAAATATTGAAAAATTACAAAATTAGACTTAATCAAATCAATTTGGTTTTGAGTTTCAATTTTTTGATTCTTTGATTGGGTATTGGTTCTACTCTTCTAAAACTTTGGTTGTTGAGGGTTTGCTCTTTACTGAAATTTGATAGCGTAAGTTCAAAATTCAGTACTAAAATGAGGGGGGAAATCGACCAAGAAAGCTGAGGGACAGCCTCGGTTAAAAAAAAGGGCAAATATGATTGTGGTCTAGAATTGAAAAAAAGGATGACTACGGTCTTAATATTGACCTTATCAGAAGGTACGCAAGGTTTTGTTGTTTATTGTGATGCGTCTAGAGTTGGTTTCAGTTGTATGTTAATGCACATGGACAAGGTTATAGCTTATACCTCCAGACAATTAAAAGTTCATGAGAAAAACTATCCAATCCATGGTCTAGAGTTAGTTGTTGTAGTATTTGCTTTAAAAATGTGGCAACATTATCTTTATGGTGTTCATGTAGATGTGTTCACCGATCACAAGAGTCTTCAGTATGTGTTTACTCAAAAAGAGCTTAATCTCAGACAAAAGAGGTGATTAAAATTACTCGAGGATTACGACATGAGTGTCCATTATCACCTAGCTAAGGTTAATGTTGTTGTTGATGCCTTGAGCAGATTGTCTATGGGTGTACCACCCATTTTGAAGAAAATAAGAAAGAGCTAGCAAGAGATGTGCATAAACTTGCATGTTGGGAGTTCAACTAATGGATTCAACAGAAGGAGTAGTGGTGATGAACGGGGCTGAATCATCATAAGTGTTAGAAGTAAAAGAGAAGCAAGATCAAGACCATATTTTGCTTGTTGAAGGCAAATGTTCATAAGCAAATAAGTATTGGCTTTTGAACAACGGGGAGATGGTATATTGAAATATCAAGGTAGGTTGTGTGTACCAAGTGTGGATGAACTCCAAGAGAAGATAATGGAGGAAGGCTCATAGCTCCAGATATTTCATTCATTTGGATTTCACAAATATGTATCGTGACTTGAGGGAAGTTTATTGGTGGAGTAGTATAAAGAAGGGCATTGCAGAGTTTGTTGCTTAGTGCCTGAATT